TAAAAAAAGACCCGCACCAGTTCAAACACGGACCGTCTCTGTAAGAAGGAGACCGTGGCGTAGACTTTATGGCAGAGAAGAGGTAGGGGAAGGTATCATAAATGCATAAACTTAGAGAACGTAGCCGAGAGTGCTACACTTATTTTCGGAATGTCTCATAGGTACGTGTAGGATCGACTATGAAGCTGCCCGAAGAGACAGTGAATTCCTTGCGATTAAAATCAGTGACGTTAGCGCCAGTGTTGTCGACCTACAGGTTTACTGACTTCGCTTTTCATTGGGCTGTCGGACAGTCATCGGGTAGCGCTGCTAACGTTCGGCATTCTAAAGTATATGCCTGCAGAGAAGTGACTGAATATGCAAGTCTACGTTTTTATGACTATAATATGCCTATAATATAATAGGCCTATGCTTTAATATGCCTAGATAGAAATTTTAAAAGGGTTATTAAGTTGTAAGGCGTTTAGAGCAAGGACTGACATTCGGATTTTGTGGGGATGGGGAAAGAAGCATAATTTAGGGTTAACGCCCGGAGTTTATGACTAGGATTTATAGTTGGGGTTAAGAAAAGGGTTAGGGTTATATTTGGCTACTGCAATTCACCTTACCCAGTCCGGCCCCTTTTAACCAATAACTTTGGATCACCTGTTTTCCATCCGTTTACATGCCCCTAATTCGTATCTTTCAAATTACTCGGTCTGTTCCAGCAGTATGGCAGAATTGCGAGCTTGCTCACTGTCTTTCGTAGATTCCGTTAACTGTTACATTCATCTGGCTTACTGATGAAATAATATTAACACCCTCCCCTCCTCCTGTGTTCTAGTTTCCTAATCCTTGCCGCTTGCAGTAATAACTTTGAAATTCTACCGCACAGCTCGTTCCCGAATACTGTAGGCTGCAGGACACTCTTGTCCCACAATGACTCAAAAACTAAATTTGAAACTTTGTAGGCGAATGCAAGAAACCGTCCTCGAGAACGACGGAGCGCGTATGAAAAACCAGTCCGCTGACGAGACTGATGGCTCTTAGAAGTAGCTTAAGTAAGAGCTAACAAATTAGCTTGGACCTCTCAGAAACAAATAGGGCGTCCAGGACAGCACAATGACTTTCAAAGTACGACTCCCGGAAAATTATTTGCAGACATACATAGCACCGTCAGTCCTAGTGGGTACACTTCAGTCTAGTCTGAGAAGATAGAAGCGTCTCTGATGTTCCCAAAACTGAAATGAGGGTTTGCATTCCCAAATTCAGAGTAGAAAATCTATGTATTTAGTAAAAGTCGAAGAAGGCCGTGCAACAGATGTTGCTGCTTCCCTAACGTTGCGAGCAGGTCGCTTTCGCGTCCATTTAGAAGGAGTAAATACTATGGAAAATCACTCTGCTAGCAGTGACTTCTCTAAATTCTTGAACGCTTGTCCTGGGCCTCTCACTTTTGCTTAGTTGAATGAAGGCAGTCATTAAAACCAAATAATTTAATGCGAACGGGGTGCGAGAGGGTTACGGGATGCATAGGGACGGATACTCACTAGACGAGGTGGTCATTCTACTCTAATCCAAGGGGGCACTGACCCTCAACTCTGAGTCAACGGTGTTCTGCTGGGCGGCGAGGTCATAGCTCGATAACGGTCTTGACTTGCGGGTTAACCTGAGAATCTCTCTAGTGAGGGGTAAATTTGTCCACGTATACAGTCCAATTCACTCAGGAGGGAGGAACCCGCCATTGCAGTTTCCCTTGTATTTGACGTTATTTTTATTCTGCCTATAACGCTACCCGCTGTGCGGCTGCCGGCGGGGTTCGAGAGTGAGCCCCAAGGCACAACGGGACCGATCGATTATGTCTCAAATGATAAGTTTTGGCATGCTTATTACTCATTTTTGATTTTTCAACAGTGGGCCTTATACACAGACGCCCAAATCGCACTCTCGAGCGAATTTTCAAAAGAACATGAATTAATAATTTGCAATTTCAAATTTATTAAAACAATTACTTTTTTAAAAGTTCTTCGGACTTTATTAGCTAAAGGGCCTTAAGAACTAAAACAACAGAGAAAACAGCTCATACCTAGTTTAGCTCTGCTGAATAGAGTAAACTGACCCTTAATTACTTGACTGGACAAAAGGATCAAGACCAGGCGAGGTCAACAGGCGGTATTGGATGAGCTCTTGTAAGAAGCACTCTGATGAGCGAATTAAACATGAACTAACCTGCTTCCACAGTCCAAGGATTGGCAGAAGTAAGAGTGAGTACAATGGCTGCACAACAGGCCTGTGTCTCAGGATTCGTCCAATTCTGGATGGCGTAGACGGCAAGGAGATCGGTCAGTTTGGGTGGCTCCTGGTAAGCATAGCTGTCCAGTCCGGTCAGAAGAGCGCCAGCACTGTCGCTGCCAGATAGACGTTTAATGCACAGAGTCGCCGCCAGCAGA